AAATTAAATTCTTATTCAAAGTTTCTTGGCCTTGTATCATGGCCTTAACGAAAATCAGCGGTTAAACAATTGATATTTAAATGAAAAAAAACAAGGAAAGTTTCCAAGGAATGTTTCCAGTAGCTTAAAAGAAACTTTCAAAATGAAAATAAATTCCCAATTGGAAACTTTCCAAAACCGAAAGTTTCCTTAAAATGGAAACTTTCCGATTCCCATCTCTACTTATAAATGACACTATAGTGTCATGGCAACATGTACGACAATGAGAGTTTTAAGGGTGGGAGTAGAAAATAGTATATTATGCATCAAGTTTGATAAACGCCATTTTATACACGAATTTAATTTGGGCACGAGCGACCTTGCGAGCGAGTGCTTAAATTAATGAGTGTATAGAAAAGTTTATAAACGAGGTGCATAATATACTTTTTCTACGACAAATACTTATAATTATCTTAAAATGATTTAAATCAAAAATTTGTATAGAGCGCCATCTATGAAACAATAGGGGAATCTGAGTGTCACCGTCAAATGTCAAATTTTTATATTTTATAAACACAGATTATAAAGGTAATAAATCGAAATGTATTTCTTGAAAACAGACAGTTTTTCACAGTGAAAGTAAAGAAAATGTTTTATGAGCACTTTACAGTAGATAGACTCCGTGCCCGAATTTAAGTTATAGTTTACTGCCGGCGAAATTAAAAGGTCAGTACAATGTTCATATAAACTTTTCAAATATTGGCGTTGAGAAACTATTTAATACTTTTGTATTTTTGTATTGAGATAATAAAATAATTTTCACATTTAGTATTATTTTACAAGAAAGGCACTTTATTTTAACGATTGTATGACATTTGACAACTGTCAACGAACTTAAAACTAACTTCAGCCCGTGACTAAAAACCTGTTGTTACGTTCAGCCCCTGACTAAAGCGCCATAAGGCCACAACTTGTCAATGTGTATTTAAAAGGTCACTTACCCACTGGGAAAAATAATATTTCTACAATGTTACTGAACGTTACATTTGTTAGATGTAATGTTACAAAAATCCTTGTGGCAATGTTGCAGGAACATTGCAACAAAGCCTTATGTCCGGCTCAGGAACATTACATTTACAAATAAAATGTTGCTTAAATGTATTAATTGCAATGTTACTAAATGTTATTTTTGTTAATGTAAGGTTCCTGCAACATTACATTTGTTAGGTATAATGTTACAAAAAACCTTATGGCAATGTTGCAGGAACATTGCAACAAAGCCTTATGGTTCAGAAACATTACATTTACAAATAAAATGTTGCTTAAATGTATTAATTGCAATGTTACTAAATGTTATTTTTGTTAATGAAAGGTTACTGCAACATTACAGGAACATTGCAATTAAATTAATATGAATTATTATTATAATAATTAATTATAATTATTTATCCGTAAGCTATAGGCCTATTATATATATAAATAACAGACTGTTTCGACCTGTTTGGTCTCATCAGTGTCAGGCAGTCGGTGACGGGAGACACGCATCAAGCTCGGCAATGTTCACTTATAAAGATATAAATGACCAAGACAGTCTGCAAACAACATTGCAAAAATTATCTTAATGCAATATTTCGGATGAAACATAGTCCAAAACTAAAGTTATAATTATAAATGTAATATTATAGTTACAATGTAAAATCTTGCAAATTAAATGTTTATATTGTTTATATAAAGCAACATTTCAAAAATCATCTTAATGTAATATTTAGGATGAAACATTCCCCAAAACTTATCAATGTAATATTATAATTGCAATGTTTCAAAAATCTTGCAAATTAAATGTTTATATTTTTTATATAAAGCAACATTGCAAAAATCATCTTAATGTAATATTTCGGATAAAACATTGCCCAAAACTTATCAATGTAATATTATAATTGCAATGTTTCAAAAATCTTGCAAATTATATGTTTATATTGTTTATATAAAGTAACATTGCAAAAATCATATTAATGCATTATTTCGGATGAAACATTGCCCAAAACTTATCAATGTAATATTATAATTGCAATGTTTCAAAAATATTCCCAAACATTCCAAAATAAATGGGCATTAAAAAAATTAATATATCTTTTAAAGGAATAAAAATAACAAAACAAGACTAACTGGACTGAAAAGATGAAGGTGGGAACTACATTTCCTGAAAGTTTCAGATTTTTATTTTTTCCTCAACATAATGATTTCTGAGGGCAAAATTGGCTAATTTTGAGAATTATCAATTTTCAATAATTTTTTTAATAAAGAAATTGATAGTCTAGAAACTTAAAATAATAGTTACGTTTTCTATTGTATAAGTACTTTATACCTGAAAAAAATGAACCTTCTAAATTCAGTAGAATAGGCACAGGAGCCAGACAAAAATCACAGAAATTGGCAAATTATCATGAATCTTTAGTGGTTTACCATTCTTTTATGAGCTTAACTAATTGGATAATAATAATTTATATCGAAAACACACTTACTGGACAGTAAAACAAAATTAAAATTATTTCAATATTTGTCACAGAAAAAAAGTTCTGGCTCACTATAAGAGAGTAAGAAATTGACACTATTTCAGACTTCTAAGGGGTGCCAAATAAAAGTAAAGTAACAAAAAATTAAAACGGCCACGGATTTTCATATTTGACACCTAAAAGATCATCCTCAATTTTTTTCATTACAATAAAAAATCATGCAGCGCACTTTTAAATTCATTTTTGGTGTTTTCATTTGGATTGACTCTGTTTCTATTGTATATTTAAAAGTAAAGTTGCAAACATTTTTCATTTGAAACTTGTGTTAATATTTCAATTGAAACATTGAAAAAAAGTTATGTCTGCAATATTATAATTGTAATGTTTAAAAACTTTTATGCAACATTTTATACTAAATGTTACAAATATAACATTGTAAAAACTTTCCATGTGAATCTTTAAATAATGTTTTAAATATAAGGTTGTTGGAAATTATTATATGCAATATTTCAAATGTAACATTTCATTTATGTTAATGCAAGTAGCACAGGAAATATTTTATTTGTAAAGTCGGCGAACATTGCAGCAATATTTTGTAAGGTTTCTTTCCCAGTGGGTAGTGTCATGGAAGCATGTACGATAAAGGGCGTTTTAAATGAGGGAGTAGAAAAAATAAATTTATCTTCAATCAAAAAACCTAGACCTGGAAATCCTTGAAAACCTGGAATAGTCAGGGAATCCGTTTAAGTCCAATAAAATCAGGGAAAAGTCAGGGAATTTTGAAAGTCAGCGCAAAAGTCAGGGAATTTGTTAATATTATGGTAAAAGTCAGGGAAATTTATAAAACGGCTTGTTTTCTGACCCTTTTTCGTTGAAAGTCGCCGTATTGGCAACACTGGTATCGTAAACAATTGTTTTCGTACGGCGCCGCCGTAACGGCGGTAATTATCAAGGATTTTACACAAAAAAATTTTACACACTAAAAAATCGCAAAGCAATGCACCTGATAAACAAACTAACAATTAATAATAATTAAAACAATTGTCATAATATTAATTTTAAATTGTTAAAGTTTGTTGTGCATTGCTTTGATGAATATGGTATATTTGTATAAATGTATACCAAAGAATGTTTTTTATGTTTGTACGGTACAAATTGTACCAAAGAATCTATTTTATGTTAAACTGTTTTTATTAAAATTTTATTTTAATTTTTATTATAATATTTAATTTTTAAATAAATATTAACAAAAATAAACGCTATTTTTGACTTAACATAATTCTGATGGGACACTATTTTGGGAGATAATTGTCTTTATGTCTTTCTTTTATTTATCTGGAATTATAGGGACTTTGGTCAGGGAAAACCTGGAAAAGTCAGGGAATTTTAAATGGTTTTAAAAGAGGGAACCCTGCTAGATTGAAAATAATTTTTTGGAAAACTGTCAATAAAAGTTGACTTTTACATTATATTTATTACGTGTCAAAACAACAGTTTTTTGTATACTGTATACTATATATACTATACAGAACGTAAAAGTCTTTTGCATCCGCTGCAATGTACGCAAAATCCGTTTCGAAATGTTCTCTGCACATTTTTAGTAATTTATGTGCTTGTGCTTCGCTAATTTGTAGGCCTCCTCTACGCGTCAGCATTTAAACTTTTGGCACAGCCTTATGGCTATTAATTATTATTACAAAAACGCCAGTTGAATATATTTTTCATAAAAAGTACAATTTGTTTAGTGAAGTAAATACATTTTTTTCCTCCTATAGCGTATTATTGACATTATTTGAGTTTTTCGTATATAATGGTAACATTAGAACCGCCCCGCCTAACAACGGGAATAATGAACTCATTATTCACTTTATTAGCCTTCAGTGTTTGGTATATTTCAATATTTACTGTTATTTGAACCATTTCGGTTTTAAATTGGGAAAAAGTGAGGTTGGAACTGACTAACAGATGCCAGATTTTTTTCATATACGAGGAGCGACTATAATGATCTTTAAAATCGAGAAAAAGTAAGATTATAATAAATGTTATTATTGAAAATAACTTAATTGGAGTATAAAAAGCATAGTTTAATCATTAATTAATATTTCACTTCAGAAAATGCGCATAATTTACCTCTTTCGCGGCGACATAATACAAATATATATTCTTTGTTACTTTTTGTATGGTTCATTTATATAAATATTTATTTAATTTGAAAATATACGTTTACAAATTAAAGTAATAAAACAACCGCATAATTTATACAAAATTTAATTGCTTAAAATAACATCACATCAAAATAATTTATAACATAGGTACCTAACTATTATATTTTTACATTTGCAAAAGTCACTTTAAAGCCTAATGACATATTATGGTTAAACCATATATTCACGAAGTACAAGAAAAAATAATATATCTACATTTTTAATAAAAACATATTCAGGCTTTGCCTACTACATAAATCACATAAATATAAAAGTACAAAACGGAACATTGTTAAAAAATAAACTATTCTGAGACCCCATTGAACATTTGCTGCCAACACTTTAAAGCCCTAACTGTGGAATTAAGCCTGTACTGCCACTCGTGAAAATCCTCGCCATTATCGGCCGCCAAAAAGTAGGTTGTTTTCATCGTCGGTTCCCCAGAATTTTGCAACTCCAAAACCAAAGTTCTTGGCCTTGAACAAATATTTAAATTGGAGGAAATTGCTTGCCCTGTACTGCATCTCAAGTCCAAGAATCCTCTTGGTTCCATGGTGACCTCTTCTGTAGGATGGCTCCAAAATGAGAGTTTGTCATCTAGAAGAAACATTATGTTAGATTTTGTTTTGGGGTAAAAAATATGTTGTTACCTTTAAGGCTACACCATCTCCTGACCCATGATGCTTTCACATCGTCCTTTCTTATAGTTAAAAATCCTTTAAAGTCGTATTTTAGGTTCAAACATATTTCTACGGAAGCCGAAAATTTATCATCGATTTCAGACATTCCCGAAGTTGATAATTCATAAAGTTCTGATGATAAAACGTTGGATAAAGTTGAGGTTCCAATGGGCTCAAAACTCGTGTTTGGATTTATATTTACACCCGAGGATCTTCTTCTTGAAAAAAGTTTACTGAAAGACTACAAAAACATTATTATTATTATTCGTATTATTATTGTTATTAAAAATTAATAAATTACCTTATTTATGGACCCACAAACATGATTTGAAACCTGTACTTCATTTTTAACTTTTAGAGAATATACTTCCAAAGTAACTTGTGAGTCTGGAGTCAGCCTTTCGAAGATAACATCGTTATAGAATTTAACTGCACTTCCTTTTGACATTTCGATGTTTGTCCATTTAACTTGTGGCCCAGCTTTTAAAATACACATATAATAGTATGTGTAATCCAAAACATAGTCTGGCTTTATTTTGAACGTTAAATCTTTTATGTACATAGTGGCACAAGGTGCCGGTCTTTCTTGTTTTCTTGAGGTTTTTACCGAACTGAGAAGAACATTGTATTTGGATGCTAAAAATAAAAATATGTAGTTTGTCCCAAGACCTAGAATATTATTACTTACTTGCTGTCAAAAGAAGTTTTTCAGCTTCAATGTGCTCTCTGCTGCCAATGAGCTCTTTATTGGTATTGCAGACAAGCAACGCTTTCTTGATTTGTTGTATTACGTCCAGTTGTTGCTTGATTTCTTCTATGTACGATATATTGGTTTCTTCATAGGACACATCTTCAGAAAGCCTTCTGTGTTGCACTGGAATATTTTCATCGTAATAATAATATTCATTCGATATTAAATCCGATATCTCGTTAGTGTTGACACTTGGTGCTGCTTGCGTATGTTGCTCAGTTTCTATTTGATCACATAAAGCTATCGCCAAAAATTCCTTTTCGTCATATTCTTGAATGCTACTTCCAATACTTGCTATCGATTCATATACATCGCTATTGAATGATTTTTGGGATTTTCTTCTATTTGTTTTTTTGATTTTTTGGTACTCGATTTTGTCCTCGAATTTGGTCAAAATCAGGTCTTGTATTATGGAGGAATCGTCGATATTTTCTGAGTGGACGTGTAGGTTTGCGTAGGTTAGATTATTAGGGTTTTTTGAGTCATAAAGAGTGGTAAGCAGACTATCTGATTTATCGGCGAAATTTAACATCATATCATTGCTTTTAAGGGAGTTATCCTCGTAATCACAGTTGGTTCCTGAATCTGATGAGCTTGGATATCCAGTATCCAAGTTATCCGATGAAGAGACTTCTATATTGTTGGTATTGATGGAATTGGACGATGAAGATGAAGTCTTTGGAGTTTCATCCAAAATACGGCAATCTTGCTCCGATGAAGCATTACTATATATTTTACTTAAATCCAAGCTACACTCAGGTATGTTATTCTTTATAGGGGTGCTGGAAAAAGTTGTAGGCGGGGGCTTAACACCAATTATAGTATCCCTTTTTATCCAATCGCTCAATATTTCCATGAATTTATCCTTGTTTTGATCGGAGCTGATATCGTCATATATCAACTTCCAAGTAGTTTGGGCTAAAGTTACATCTCGATCAACTTTCAAAGTAGGTTCTTCGTATTCTCTAACGTTCAATGTTTTTTCCATGGAGTCCTGTATTTCGAGATAACTTTGATACTCCTTCTCGAGGGTTTTCCATTTTCTTAGAGTGTTTCTAAAATTTTCTGGGGATAAGGTACAATTGTTGTTATTTTCTTCGTTGCTTATGTTGTTAGTTCCTGGATTAATCGAATGGTTTTCTTTAGATGCGTTGTGCATATTACTAATAAAATTTGCAAGGTTTTTCCCAAGTTTTCTAGACAGAGTGCTTGCATTTTGTATTATATCTTCTAGGCTTGGAGTTTTTATCATATCGGATATATTTCTTGAGTTATCTGTAAATCATTATCAAATTAATCGATGAAAACATTTCCTAAAATTTATTTTACTTACGTATACTGCAGGAGCACTTTTTTCTTTTTAGGCTGCGTATGAAAGGTCTCGTTTCTTCAGATCCCTTTGAAAATAATAAGGTTAAAATCAGTTGTTATTATTTGCACAATTAATCATGGATTTAAGCAGAATAATTGCCAAGCTGGGTTTTGGGCAATTAAGAGCAGTGATAAGCAGTGAGAAAAGATTACGTCACGGGAGACCACCTTGGTCAAAGTTGATCTTAGATGTGTTTTTCAATTTTTTTAGTAATTTTAATTTGTTTTCTAGTCCAAAAGATTTTGTTTTTTATGTATATTATTTTATTGACTATTCCACACAGATTTCAGAAAACGAGTGTTTTTATTCAGTTTTGCAGCGATAAAACTACTATTTAGTTGAAAAAACTCGTTTATACACTCACAGGCAAAATAATCGATCCACACAAATTTTCGATAAATTTCAATCGCAAATAACTCTTTATTTAATGTCGGATTTAAACGAATATTAAAGAATATTGTAGATAAATTAATGGACAATCACTCACATTTTAAAAAATTACTAAAAAATAGACGTACGTTTATAATATACAGGTTTAAACAAAAAGATGTTTTTTACCATAAGTTTAAGACACTCTGTAGAGTGGCAAAACCGTATATTGTTGTAAATTAAGTTTTATTTATCAAGTCACATCTATTCTTAACAGTTTTGTTTTTGGTTTGCCTCGATATATTTATTTTTGTGGAAAATATGGATTTAAAAAAAACATTGCAATTTCCAAAATTTTTCTGTATGAAGAACTAAGGTTGCTATGGTCCATCCATCATATGGAGAATGACAGTGATAGTTTTGTTGAATTATCCCATACTTGGACATGTCATATACAGCTTTCAAAAGCTATCAAATTGTTTTTTGCAAATTAATGTTTAAATTTTGAGGTGTCTTCTTACTTTAAAAAATGGATATGTCTCCGACTGATGTTTCCAGAGCCATTATTTTAATCCAGGATGGACGGTCACAGTATTACGTGGCAAGTGTTTAAACGTCACAAGAAGTAAAGTACAAAGGCAACATCAGTCGGAGACATTTTTAAAAGTAGGAAGACACCTCAAAATTAACACATTAATTTACAAAAAACAATTTGATAGCTTTTGAAAGCTGTATATGTTATGTCCAAGTATGGGATGATTAAACAAAACTGTCACTGTCATCCTTCATAGGCTATGGATGGACGATAGCAACCTTAGTTCTTCATACAGGAAAAATATTGGAAATTGCAATGTTTTTTTTTAAAAATCCATATTTTCCACAAAAATAAATACATAAAGGTGAACCAAAAACAAAACTGTTAAAAATAGATGTGATTTGATAATTAAAACTTAATTTCGAACAATATACTTAAACTTATGGTAAAAAACTTTTTTTTTGTTTAAACATGTATATTATAAACGTACGTGTATTTTTTAGTAATTTTTTAAATGTGAGCGATTCTCCATTAATGTATCTACAATATTCTTTAATATTTGTTTAAATCCGAAATCAAATAAAAAAGTTATTTGCGATTGAAATTCATCGAAAATTTGTGTGGATCGATTATTTTGCCTGTGAGTGTATGAAAAATAATTGTCATTGTTGACGCTTTTAAATTTATAATAAAAATTTCAAAAATATGCATTTTGGTCAAAAAAATCAAACAGAAATTCTAATTTAAAAAAATATTCTTGAAATAGTCTTGCCGAATACCACTCGTGATAAAATTTTCCCTGAAAAATTTTTATTTACTTAAGATTTTTTCTTGTAAATTTTGCTCGTGGCATTAATTTAAAACCACTCTCCTAGCGGCTCGTGGTCTTAAAAATAAATGCCACTTCGGCCATTTCAAGCGCGCGAAACGCACGAATTACAAAACTGTTTTTATAAAAAAAATTGTAGATTATTTATTATATAATATTTTGGCATCAAAATTGGCAAAAATATTCTTCTTTTATTAGGTTATAAATTAAATAAAAAAAAACTCAAGAAATATTTTATGAAAGTAGATATAATTTTAATAATTGAAAGGTGTGGACGGGACAAAAAAAAGATTTATCTTGTCCCGTCCATCCCTGTCAATTATTGAAACTATCTCTACTTATATAAAATATTTCTTGTGATTTTTTTTATTTAATGTATACCCTTATAATAGAAGAATTTTTTTGAAAATTTTGATGCAAAAATAATATATAATAAATTAGCTACAATTTTTTTTATAAAAACAGTTTTGTGATTTGTCCCGTCCATCCGCTTGAAATGGCCGACTTGCGAAATTTACAAGAAAAATACATTCGTATAAAAATCAAAAATTTTACCACTAGTGGTATAACATACGATAAAAATATTAATTTATAATTTAATTAATAAAATATTGTGCTTACCATTTTCTTATATTATTTCTTATTCTTCACTTGCGTTGTTAACTAAACAAAATTAAGGTAATGAATGTCTAATGTCTAAATAAAACCGTCCTTTAAGTAATACACTCTAAGGTAAATAACCAAAGTAAATTTCTTAAAAAAGGATTAAACTTTTATGACAAATTATCGCGGAAGACGTATTACGTTATTGAAATCTGCGCTGAGACTAATCCCGAAAGGACTACCTGCCTATAAACAGAAAAAAGCAGGCAATTGTTTTGCTGCCTGCGTCTGGTTTCTTTGGAATGTCCCTTAATATTGTAATTATATTGTGTTTACCACATGTGCAAAATAAACCTTTTTTTGTTTGGTTCGTTGCCGGAGATATTTACCTACCAGGAAACTTACGCAACTTATTCAAATTATTTTAACAGATATTTTAATCTTTGAACGATTTATTCAAATTTGTTTTATAGCCTCGTTTTGTATGTAATATTAATTAAATTTGTTTAAAAAATAAACGGTAGGTTTAAAATAACTGTAAAAGTCAAGTTATGAAAAAGGGATATGACTTGGATTCATATTTTAAACTACTAGTTTTATATTTTGGTTATAAAATCCTATGCGCTTGTATGATATGACCAAATTATATTGTATTTTATTATATGACCAAATTATATGATCAAATTGCTAAGTGTCATTAAAATAGAGCGCCCATGGTTTTATAACCAAAATAAATTTTTAAAATATTAATTTAAAATATGAATCCATGTTATATCACTTAAATTAATGAAAATCATTGAAAATTTTAGTCTTTTAAGAGTCTTAAAAGACTAAAATTTTCAATGATTTTCATTAATTTAAGTGATATAACATGGATTCATATTTTAAATTACTATTTTAAAAATTTATTTTGGTTATAAAACCGTGGGCGCTCTATTTTAATGACACTTAGCAATTAAATTAAGAGAGTTGTAATATTTTGGACACAGGTTCTTAAAAACTTTGAGTTAAAATAAAAATTGTAATTCATTTGGGAAAACAGTTATTATTTTTATTGTCCTTAATATTTATTAAAAATTATTTTTATTGTCCTTGATTTTTTATTAAAAATTAAGAAAAAATGGCTAAATATTTCTCTTGTTTGACAGGCAAGAATGCTTTAGGAAACATTTGTTTAAATAATACGTTTATCTACTCCTACATTGATGAGCTGTGACTTTATGGCGTTTTAGTCACGGGCTGAAGTTAACAACAGTGGCTTTTGAGCATTTTAGTCACGGGCTGAAGTTAGCTTTATTATAAATTGCGAAAAAGTGAGGTTAAATTAGTCAAATGTCAAATATTTGTAAATTAAAATTGCCTTTAATAGTAAGCTACAAAAATAAGAAAAAAGAAATTTTTTTTTCCATGTTATTTAAATGGAAAATGGAAAGTTAGGAACAGGCACCACTTAATGTTAATATTAAAAGCTCAAATTTTTAGAGGTTTCTTTTTTCACCTTCCTGAAAGTTTTTAGCCTGTTTTTTAGTTGAAAAAAAAAAGTTCCTTAAAAATGACACACCCTATTTTTTATACATAAATTTGGTAAAAGGTAAAAAGTAAAATTTTCATATTCCATTATTTTTTTATTTTGTATCTCAATATGAGACGAAAAAACATAAAAATCGATATCACAGAAATTATAAAAACAATTATCTACAACAATAAATATAAAAATATGTTATTTATAAAAAAATCAGACTTCCGTATAAAATAAATTTGTATAATTAATATATATATATAATAATTAATCTTTTAAAACAGTTTTCATGTTTTAAAAGACTTTTCAGTAGAGGTAGTAGAAATCAATTTGAGTTAGTTAGGTATATTGTACACATATTTTTTATGGCTAACTATAATTTGTTTTTAAAATGCTTTTTACAAAATTAAAACATTCTATAGTATTCTGTGCGATCACAACTTTTTCTAGAATCTAATGACCTTTTTGATTTCTAACACCAAAAATGTATTTATTGTAACCAATAACTTTAATATTTTTTTATGTGGCAGTAATTACTCATCATATGTGATGATCACCCTTTAAACTCCACTGGTTATATTATAAGTTTTAAGTAAAAGAATTTAATTACATTACATTTTTGTTTTAGGTAGACTTAGATTAAGGTAAAGGGAGCTGGAACACTTTATCTACCCGCTATTACATCTAATATTTGTAGCTAAAAATCTCATTTTTTTTTAAACATATACATCATCAAAATCGGTTTTAACAGATTGACAATTTCCATTTGTTTTTGTCAATAAGGGAACAGGATGGGAATTATTTGAAACACGAAGAGATGTTGTCACTGTGTAATTTGAAGGGCCTTTTTTACTGAATCCACACCTGTAACAAATTAACGTATATGAATTAATATTAATTAATATTGCAATGATGTAAGTGTCCTTTAAAATTTTTTCTTTTATTTGAAGTAAGGTTCGTGGGTTTAGGACGTAAAAAAATAACCTTAAACCCACGAACCTTACTTCAAATAAAAGGAAATTAATTAATATAAAATATTAATGAGAAATAAAACAATATTTTTCTATAAATTTAAAAATGGGGCATTCCACGTTACTCGGTAATTTTTGTCCCGCCCGTCACAATTAAAAATTGTGAGTAAAAACCACAAGTTATAAAATTAATATTTTATAATATTATTTTTATTGTGCTTATAACTTATTAAAAGCATAATAAAACAATATTTTTAAAAAAATTTTATAACGTGTAGTTTTTACTCACAATTTTCAATTGTGACGGGCGGGACAAAAATCCCCGAGTAACGTGGAATGACCCAAATGTAACTCGTTTAAAGGTGGCTGTAACGGCCGAAAGATTATATCTGGAAAGTGTAGAGGTGGGCAGTTTTCTTGATACCTTCTTTCAATCCGTTTTTAAATCGCTTTTTGGATGTATAAAAAAATTTACAAATATTCTGTTTTATTTCCGAAATTATGAAAAATAATTTGAACCTTTATTTATTTCCATTTAAACCAAATTGTTTCATGTTCAAATTTAACGATATGGTAACTTCTTCAAAGGGCTCTATTTTATTTAAAGAACCCTTTATATAAATTAACTTTGGGTTAATTATTTTCACGCCATAAAAAGTCATTAGGCCAATTAGGATAATTGAAAAGCAATTTATCGTTACCTGCCTTTATTACCCGCAAGCAATTGTGTTGTCAAATTGTTAAATCGATATTTTGAATTTAAAGGAAATTTAGTTTTAAATCATAATTTTACGTATTTTTTAGTTCCCGCATTTTTTATTATGTTATTTTAAGAAAATAGATCGTGTAGGTAAAAAAGTTAAATAAAAGTATTGCGAAAAAATGTTCAGGGGCAGGGACCGTTGAAAATGGAAAGAAAGAAAAGAAAATAGTTTTTATTGTTATTTTAACATTTTAAATTCTAGGTTTAACAATGATTTTTAATATTGTTTGACTTTTTTTTGTCACTTACGTCGGTCGGTACTTATGTCGGAAAATTTTTCTATACAAAGAAAATTTGAGGTTAAAAATCGTAAAATTTTGTACTTAAAAACTTTACTCGTAAGTACATTTGTAAAGAGAGGTTACGGTTACGAGTAGTAATCGTGAAAACACGAGTAAAGACAACGAGTACTTTTGAAAAAAAAATTAGTTAATATAATTACAAATTCTGTCAATTTAAACCTATTAAAAACTGTCAAAAATATGGCTTGCTGAGGGATAAAAAGGAAGGAAGAGAAATGCAAGTGACCGAAATTGGCGAATATTTTTTTATTTACCTTCTCCATAGCAACATATCGCACATGTGCGACAACAGTGTCATTAGTAAAACTCTAATTCCGAGATAATGACCTCCAAAGATTTTTGGATAATAAAATTCTCACTTAGGTACTTGTAAAATTATATCAAACTACCGTATTTTCTTTGCAAAGAGAAGATTCTGAGTTAAAAATTAGACTTTAAAAATATTCTTTTTGGATAAGATATATTTTTAGATATGACTATGTTGCTGAAGAAGGCGTGTATTAATTTTTGAGAAATGTCTGTTTTGCTGAAAATATGTGCATGAATTTTGCAGATATGTCTGTAATGCTGAAAATGTGTTGATCATTTTTTAATTATTCATTCTTTTATTGCTAACAACTTTAATTTTACTAACCTACCTTAACAAAATTAATGTCACAACGTACAGGCAATAATTATGACACTATTGATGAAAATTATGATGAGGATTATACAAATTGCAGACACACAAGATTCCACTGTTGTCGCCCATGTGCGATATGTATTATTGTATAGAGAAATGCCAAAGTGACACAAAAATATAGTATATTACACTACAAGGGCAGAAAGTGTAAGATTCCTGCAGTTCAGGGCTCTCACACTTTCTGCCCGTGTAGTGTATACTATTTTTCTTACTACCTCGGCCGAAAATACAACCCGGCCGAAATTACGGGAAAAAATTAAATGTGTATATCGAAACATATTGATGCCTGCCCAAATTTTGAGGTTATATTAGTGTCGTAATCAGAGTTGCATATGTTGAGCACACGACTAAAAAATTTTTACTCCCGCTATTATAGAGTGTGCGCGTATAGCTTGACCAATGGGTCAGAATTTCTCAAACGGGCCACCTGAATTAGGTCAAAATTAGTTTTTGTTTGTAGATACATTTTTTGATAGTATTTTACATCACTAACACAAATCCTAAAGGATTTTGTAAAAAAAAAATTTTCAATTGACATATTCATGATATTAAAAGTCAAAGTTTTTAATAATTAAAAAATAAAAAAATTCATTATGGCTGAACTAATTATCCGATTCCAACGATATAACTAGCGTTGGAATCTTGTTTTGACATAGATTCTTTGTTATTTTTTTCAATTGTCCTATTTTCATTTAGGTCGATTTTTTTTTGTTTTTTTATACCAAATTCGGAAATAATTGCCTTCTGCGCCAGCTATCGACTCGAGAAAAAAAACACATATACTCCAATCATTTCTCGAAATTATGCTGCTGAAAAAAAAAATGGCCCGCAGGTTGACAAAAAGTTATTCGTCCTTTTGTGGCCGCGCGCGGTGTCAGCTCACGCTCCGAACCGTGTACGCTGTACGCGCTTGTGACGCGACGTCTTACGGTGGTCTGGAACCTGCGGGCCATTTTTTTTCTCAGCAGCATAATTTCGAAAAATGATTGGAGTATATGTGTTTTTTTTTTCGAGTCGATAGCTGGCGCAGAAGCCAATTATTTCCGAATTTGTTATAAAAAAAACAAAAAAAAATCGACCTAAATGAAAATTGTACAATTGAAAAAAATAACAAAGAATCTATGTCAAAACAAGATTCCAACGCTAGTTAAATCGTTGGAATCGGATAATTAGTTTAGCCATAATGATTTTTTTTTATTTTTTAATTACTAAAAACTTTTACTTTTAATATCATGAATATGTCAATTGAAATTTTTTTTTTTACAAAATCCTTTAGGATTTGTGTTAGTGATGTAAAATACTATCGAAAAAATGTATCTACAATCAAAAACTAATTTTGACCAAATTCAGGTGGCCCGTTTGAGAAATTCTGACCCCAATGCAAGAAACGTAAACTTTCTGCCGTGGAATCGGGGACGAAACAACGTATTTTCAGTCGAGGTAGTAAGAAAACTTAATTTATTTACTCGTGGAATTTTCTCAACAAATATTGAGCATTGATTGAGCAGGAAATTTTTTGGACTAACTCAAACTTGGTGTTTTTAATTTGTTCGATACATTAAATGACTTTTTCTTACTACCTCGACTCAAAATACGTTGTTTCGTCCCCGATTCCACGGCAGAAAGTTTACGTTTTATGCATTGGTCAAGCTATACGCGCACACTCTAATAGCGGGAGTAAAAATTTTTTAGTCGTGTGCTTAACATTCAAATTTCGTACTGCCAACATGAGAAACACAAAAATATAACAGTTTTAAACCATAATTTTGCAATTATAACAACAAATAAACAATTTATGTTTTTCCTTTTTTACTTTTTATGTTGTTTTAAGTGTTTAATGGTACTTTTATTTGTTATAAAGTAGTAATTTGTTAATTAAAATACAACGTTTTATTTTTACTGTATTGGCACCGCTGAATTCACGGCCTACTGTTATTTATTTATCAAGCTCTTCAAATGGAGATAGGTACATAAATACACATTTAATTTTTTCCCGTATTTTCGGCCGGGTTGTATTTTCGGCCGAGGTAGTAAGAAAAATAGTATACACTACACGGGCAGAAAGTGTGAGAGTCCTGAACTGCGCGCAGTGCAGGAATCTCACATTTTCTGCCCTTGTAGTGATACTATTTGCTAGTATCACAAAAATCATAACTCAACTTTCGAGAATTGAATACATTTCTTATTTTGAAGTTTGTTTTAAACTATTTATAGCCCATAGGTTTTATAACAAATATTTTATAATTTTAGCTATTTACTTGTTATAAAACCTATAGGCTATAATATATTATATTATACTATACATATATTATATAATTTAAAACAGACTTCCAAACAAAATGTTTCGATGCTTGCTATATTTGGGCAAAAAGTCATTGATATAATAAACGGAAATACTCTCATATATTACTCGTGAATTCCACGAGTATTTTTTACGAGAACATTGAGTTTGGTTTGCAAGTACGAGTAATAAGTATTTTAAATGAAAAAAACCTTTGAGTAAAAAAGTACACGTACCTTCTTTTTTATTCGTAATTGAAATACGAATAAAAGTACTCGAGTACTTTGCCAGCTGTGATGAGAATATACATAACTTTTAACCATTAAAGATGTAAAAAAATGATTAAAAGTTTAAACAAATGTTTTAGGAAATTAAATAAAGTAGGTAAAAATTTGCTTTTCAATTTTTGCCCCTTTCTCAAAAGTTTAGTTATTCATTAAAATAAATATTTTTTAAGTATTTTACTAAGCGCAATGTTAGCAATGGAAACCTTAGTGATCAGAATTTTTTAATAAACCCAAATAATAACGAGAAATTTACATATAAATTGCCACATAGGTTGCAGGAAGAATTATTGAAAACAAAATATTTTTCTGCGTATTTGTGCTATTTTCAGCATAATCTAATTACATCGAAATAAACAACATCGCTTATTTTTAACACCCTAACAGACTTTGGTTTATTTTTAAAAAAATTATTTGTTTTTGGTCACACATTTCTCTTAATATTAGCAGCTAAAGAAAAACAAAAAAACGTTAAATTTTGTCAACAAAATACATTTTAAGGCCAACTTATTTCTTGATAAAATTTGTATACTAATAAAACTAAATAATATTAAATGAAACTTTAAAAATAACGATACGATATTTTACATTTAAATTATAAATATTACCTTGATATCATCTGGAAAAAGTCCCTTCTATATTGGGCAGTCATGAGGGCATACAAATACGGGTTTGCGCACGCATTTAACGGATAAAAGAACACCAAGAGTATTTTCGACCTGGGTATTGTTATAAGCGGGTACCCAGCCAACGCAGTAAGCCCAAAAAAGGCTATGGGAGCCCAAGTAGCGAAGTCCGTAAAAATCAACAGAGCCATTTTTTTCGCTATGGTCATTTCTCCCTTCGTGTTGGCTCTTCTAGTTTCATAACCTAAAAAAATATGTTTTGTTGTAATGTTTTAGGCCAAAGTATATGTTTTGTACAAAATGATGCAATTCTACAGTATTTAGTATGTAAACTTACCTAAACTAAAATATATTTGTGCATAACAAAATACTATTAATATAAATGCTAAACCATTTACTATAATCATTGCGTAGAGGTAGGCCTTATCTACTATTGTATTTACTTCCATTGGAAGGCATATACTAAAAAATTAATAATTAATAAAAGTAATAATTATTAAAAAAATAATATTTTCTTTAAAAACAAAAACTTGTGTAACTTGGCAAAGTCATTTTAAAAATTTTATTTGAATTTTTCACTTTTTGTGATCCCTTTTGTAAAGTTAAAAAGTAATAAATTTATCAAAAGAAATAATCTTAACGACTTCCAAATACCCGAATTTTAATGACCATCGTCATTACTCAACAGGTCTTTCCGGGTAAAGGTCTAATTGTGCTCATTGTATTATTTTTTTTTCTCAAAGGCAATCATAGATAATATAAATTATAAATATAAATAATTATAATGAAGGATTGATGTTTAAATATTAAAACAAATAAGTAATTTTACCTAGTACTGCTGTAATTACTGATGCCCAATACGGGAAGTGCTGCTATCAGGATTGAATAAATCCAACCCCCTAACATTGTTTTTGCTGCAGCACCTGAAAATAATTTTAATAATTAATTAGGCAAATTAAAAAAATAGATTAATAATACCAAAGCAAAAATGTTGCCTAAAATCGCAGAAAATTAAAAAATCAACTCTTTTCATTCAACTTTTATTATAGTATATTATGTAGTTTTATAAACGCTATTTTAGTTACGAGTTTTATTAGGCATGAGCGAAGCTTGCGAGCGAGTGTTTAATAAAAACGATTGTCTAGAGAAGTTTATAAAACGAGTTGCATTATTATTTGCATTGTTATTTTGTTCAAAATTTTTTTATGAGGAATATGAACTTTTTACAAAATATAATTACTTTTTATACATTTTTTCTCACTAAAATGTGATTTGATTTTTTTTTCAAAGTAATCATATCATGTAAAAAGTTCATATTTTTCGTAGAAATAATTTTTATACTATACAATTTTATTAATAAAACTGCGTTGATTTTTAACAAATTCGTTTTTTAATTTACTATGAACATAGTCCAAAACTTAAAAAAAAATATTTAATAGTAAAACCTTTGATGGGTTTTTAAAAGTTAGCTCGAATTTTTCTTCTATAGTCTTTTTGAGATTTAAGTATTACTAAATAGTATTTTGTAAATTGACATACCTAGAATTTCACTTAAAAATTAAATTCTTTATTAAAGTACTTAATGTTTTCCATTTTGATTTTTTAAAAAAGATTTTATTTTTAAAATAATTTATTAATATTGTTAAAACTAAGGTATTCTAGGAATTTTTTGAACCAAGTTTAGGGATTTTTAAAGTGGCCATGTTGACAACACTGCATAAAATCATGAAATAGTTACATTTTTCAGATTTTGTAAATTAAAAATTTATTTATTTTTAAACAGAAAATTAACTTATTTCCTAAGGTTAAAAATAATTTTTTTTATATTCTTAAATTTAAAAAAATAATATAATAGTGAGGTAGACTAAAGAAAGAGGAAAAAAAACTAAACTAACTTTTATTGCATTAAATATTTATAAAAATAATTATTTTGAGATGAAAAACCTTCATAAGAGTCGAAACAAGAAACATTAGCTACTTTGCCAAAAGAAACAATTTGTATGCGAAATTTGACGTATATCAATTAACAATAAACTATCTACCCAAAACTCAAAAACTTCATAGGGATATAAAAAAATTATAGCTAACTTTAACTAACCCAGTGAGGATTTTATTATTAAAACGGTATCAGTAAAATCCAGTTTAAAATTGGTCACCCCAAATTTGTCCCAGTGTATTTTGTATAAAATAAAATTTACTATATATTAACCATCTCGAAATGTTAAAGCATAATTGTAATTGATTTAAATTTGTAAAAATAATAATATTGTTATAATTTGATAATAAAGAATAAATTAATCCCGGCACATTCGCCATTTTTAAACAAAATTAATCATCGGTATTGGTACTGCTCTTAGCCACAAAATTGAGCTAAATATATATATTTTTTAATTAAAAATAAAAAAATAGTTGCTATAAACAGCCCCAGTAGCACAAAGATATTGGCCCATATTCGTAATAATATTGGGCCAAAATATCTTTCTTCAGAATTTTTCTAGCATGGTCCAATATTGAAACCGAACATTGGCCTGAAGTTGTTTGACATTATATAACCGAAATTTGAAATCCGCATTGGCCCGAAGTTGTTTTACATTATATTCTAGGAAAGTTGAGGGAGAAATTGAAAGAAAAAAAAGATAGCCACCTAGTATTTACTACGTGGTAGGATTTCTAAAAGTGATATGTCACAAACGTTTGTTTTCAGAAAATGTTTATAGTAGTTACTTAGGGGCGTAGAAGCGGGGTGGGGTGACAATGCTTACCCAAATGATAAGGGGGAGATGGGGTTACTTGATATAAAATGTACCATCCAAATTCTTTGAAAAATCTACCAATAAGACAAGTCGTGTACCGTCTATGTTATTCTTAATTACGATGAAATGCTAATCGCAGATTACCCTTGTTATTCTTACGGTAATATGCAAGAATGGCCTTTATTATTTTCACCCATTTGGTGCTAAACAATAAGGATGGTAGTCGGTTGCGCCACCCCACAACTTAAAACCGTTCCTGCGCCACTAGTATAGACATATCCTGGAAACAAACGTGTGTCGTTACATATCACTTTTAGAAATCTGAAAGCATCGTTCTGTAGTTAATGATATATTGGCGTAAAATAATATGCCAATATAGGACCAACCTTGGATAAACATTGGCAATGATATATTAAATTATCATTTTATGCCAATACAGGGCTAACATCGGCTAAATTTTGGACAAGAAATTATCTGGTGGTGTCAAATCGGATAAATAATGACCATAGGGTTCTCGAGAAAAAAATCCTCCTAAATTTTTTTTGTGGGCTTTTGTTGAATTTTGTTATAATTAACCTGGGATTTTTAAAAACATTCGAAAAACCCCGTTGTGTAATAAAAGAAGATCTGTAATAAAAGAACGGCAGTCATTTTGAGCATTAGCTAAAATAAAATTGAAAATAAATTGCATTATTGTTGTAGTTCATTTACTGTGTTTAATAACTAGAATTTATTAAATTTTGTTGCGAGACATTTTTATAGCGTTTTTCTCGAAAACGGTTGGCCCCATGACTTTGCAGCAGTTTTTTTACGTAAAATTATCTGGAGAATTATATTCCAATATGTAGAATTAAAAAAAAAAACAAAAAAAATATGAGAAATTTTCCCCGAAATGCCCCAGCTTCACCTAATTTGACACCACCAAATGATTTCTCGCCCAAAAAATACCCCAGAAATAAGGCTTCACTATTTTCGCATTAACCGTTTCTGAAATATTTAATAAAAATCTGATTTTTAAAACAGTTTAAAATGTTTATAGCCATTCTATATATGGGTGATTCTACAAAAGTTGGACAACTTGATGTCATCAGTCAATAGAGTAGGTATTTTAATATTTTTTGTAAATATTTTAGTATATTACAAAAGATCCAGGTTTTTTTTAACTTGTCCACACAATTTTAATGTATTTTTTCAAAAGCTTGTTTGTAGAAAAACATAATAAATATTCAAAACATCAGTACCTTGGCGTGTCACAACTTCTGAATCAAATAATTGAGTGATTTTATTTTAAAATATATTCAATTTCACTACAAACTATAAAACATTAAATAATGTATTTTTCATATTTTATCATAGATTCCAATAATAGCAATTTTTAAAAAATTGATAATCTTTGTTCTCACTTTTACCCGTCAGTTCTGTGTCCAATGTAAAAATTCAAAATTCCTGCGAAATATTCAAGTTTAAACGTCAAGTCCTCGTTTTAACTCAAGTGTTGGTAAAAAATAACCCACAGAGTCCGCCCTTTGCACAATGCAAGCGGCGAAGTTGTGGTGAATGCACGCATAGTTCCAGTCAAAATTTCAGTACTGTGGTGAGTAGTTATTTTCTTACGTATATATATTTCATTGTAATTTATATAAGGCTATATGTGATTTGTTGATAAGTAGCATCCACTAATAAAAATATCAGTAAAATACTTAATTCCGAATTATAATCTAAAATTTGTATCCCATTCATCCGTACTGTGTCGTCAGTTCCATGTTCGATGTTTCGGTTATCTTTTTTTCCCAAACATCAATTTAAATTTAAATTCCGCTTGCGCAGAACTTGTTTATTTAATGTCATTATTAGGGATGGGATTTTAGTTATTTTACCTTTTTTCAACCGAGGTAACTATTTAAAAACCAATAATGCCAAAATGTGTTTTAAAAGATTTTCTTTTGTATGAACCTAACTTGTTTTCACCTTTTTTACCTTTTTTGGAGGTTTTTGCTTTAAACTACCTATTTTATCCTTTGATTACCTATTTTTTTAACTTGTTTTCACCTTTTTTACCTTTTTTGGAGGTTTTTGCTTTAAACTACCTTTTTATACTTTTGTAACATATTTTTCAATTTGTCAGTTTATTTTCACCTATTTGTTACCTATTATTAGGTATTTTTACCTATTTTATTTTTTTGTGTTCTTTATAAATTTTGCCCCAATATTTTATCCAGGGCGTGCAACTTCTGTGTAGTGAGTGTCACTCAGTGAAACACAGTTTATTGCATAGAAATAGTTTATTGTGGGTATTTTCTGTGTTTGGGTATGCGGCTAAACAAAATTAAAAACCAAACGTGAACTTTTAATGTTTTTTTTTACCTAAAATGCTGTTTTTTTAACCTAAAATGCTTTTTTTTAGTAACTTTTTAGTTACCTATTTTTCAGTTTTTAGTACCTAAATATCCCATCTTTAGTCATTATAAACCCATATAAATTTGGTGTGGGTCCCATATCTAATAATTGAGATATCGGTATACCCAAAATCCACCCGCCGCCACTGATGTGTGGTATTATTTGATTTTAAGATATTTAATGTATAAGTTGCAATAAATCTTATATTTTCCGATAAATTATGTAATTTATGTTAATTAGTATCCTGGTATACTCGTCACTTCTCTTGCATTCAAATTTAGAAAACGCAGATATTTCAGAAACTGTTTGAAAAAGTGACTGGCCCGGTCTGGAACAGTATATTTATTATATTATCTATGTTCTCATAACAAAATACTGTTTAATTTTTTCCGAAATCTATATAAACAATATGAGGTCAAAAGTTGCCCAACTTTTGTAGAATCACCCATACAGCGCCTCCAGAAAGCATTTTCGGAGCTTATTGCAACGGTTTCTTTTATTTGTACGTGTAGAATCACCCAAAAAATATATGAACGTTATTTTTAGACACCCCGTAGCTATATGGGTTAAAATAAAAAGTAAAATTAAGATTTTTTTATATTAAATTGCAAAATTAAATTATTACATTACTCTTATTAAATTTTTAATCAAACCAGTTTTACATTATTATAGTACTATAAACCTTACAATTAATAAAATGCTAAAACATTCTCTTCATGAATAAAAAACTGAAACATTTAAGATTTATATATAAATGACCACAAAACGAGCTG